ACGAAACAGACAGGTACGTCATTTTCAGCTAGATAATCTACCTGAAAATGAGTTCTGTCGGACCTTTCCGACTGCCGTGCTTATGTTTAAGGACCCTTAAAAACCCGGGACTTTCCCTTAACATTTAGTATTCCAACCAAATTTATACTGGACTTCGAGGCTGTGGGAGTATAACAAAAAACTGCGGTAGATTATTCATCCTTAAGTATCAATGGGATTTTTCCCTTTTTTCTCCTCGCAGCTTTTGAACAAATAATGGATTTTAATAACTCGAAACTTGCCTATTTAGGGAAACCTGAAGTCAATGTGACACGAGACCACATAAATGGCACCGATATATAGATAATAATCAACTACTAAATGATTTTGGGCCGAAAATATGGTGGTTACTTTTTACTGCTAAACTGATCTAGATCTCTAACTTGAATGTTGAATGTGTTTTCCAACAGTAAGATCATTAGTTCTATACCAAGAAACCCATTTTGTCCCGAAAAGAATCAACAAACTGTATAAACCGTAGACAAGACGCTGCATGAAGAAAATTAAGACTAGGGAGCTTTTTGTTGCTCTTTGATGAACTTAAAAGATTTAGAACTTTCAGTCAGAGTAAAAAATGTTTTTGCCTTGGCGGCTCTAGCCTGAAATTCGTCCGATTGCTTCGAGTCGTTTTCTCCTCTCAACAACGTCTGAATCCACCGGCCGTTAATGCCGTCCAGTGACGTCACTCACTACCCGAAAACCGGGTAGTAATTTTGATTGGTTGATTGTCTAAACATTCTCATAATTATGTATAATTATGAAAAATTTTAGCGGGATTGTCGCTGCAAGATATTCAGCGGATCGCATCTCTGGCATTCTTTCGTGTAGTTCAAACATTTCGAAAAGTTTAATCTTATCTTAAACAGCAAAATTGCCCTTGTCTTCGAAACTGAAATGCTAAATTGAACTGCGAATGAAGAATCATTGCGGAGAGTCGGTAGGTTTCAGAGGTTTTTCATTTGGAGCCGCTTCTGCCGCTTTGTGGTTTCGGCGGCCGGAGATTTTGTTTACGCGAAGTTTTGTGAGATCAATATTATAATTCGACCTTCGTGCTGTTTTTAATGTCAACTGTAATGATTCTGTTAGCTTTTCTTTCTTGTTTCCTTGTTTATTTCTTCGTTAAGGACCAAATAACTTCTTTTCAATTAAAGCAAATCATTGTGTTTTTGAACTAAGTGTTCCGTGTGTGTGTTTATTTCATTGCGTGATTGCGACCGAGTTTCATTACAGTACAACCGGTTCAGAGTTGTAGGGCATGCAGTTGATAGTTTGAGCGTTAAACAAAAAAAAAATGTGTTTTACTTTTTGCATGAATTAAAGCAAAGGTCAAAAAGTAGTGACGTCACTGGACGGCATTAACGGCCGGTCGATTCAGACGTTACTGAGGGAGTAATAACGACTCGAAGTAATCGGATGAAATTCAGGCTATGCCGGCTCCTTTAAATATAAAAATTGCTTAAAAAGAAAACAAGGTTATAACCCATTCAGTGGACACCAAACTAAACACTTTAAATGGGTCTAAGCGGGCAATGATTTAAAGTAACCATTATAAATGTAATATATAGATTTAGCCAGGGCTAAAAGCGAAGCTCTCGTTAATAAATTTGTAATTTAAATAAAACAATAAACTTGTATTCCACAAATCAGTAAACTTTAGAGCACATTTATATACTTTTGAGGGAAAGGTTAAGTGATTTTAGAGGAAAATAATTTGCAAACAGCCCAAGAGTGAACCAAATCTTAAATCGAGTTGATAGCCTTATATGTACACCCAAAAAACAGCAATCATCTTCGATCACATTTAAGAGCCGCAATGGCTCTTGATCATAGTAGATTAGGCCTGGAAACCAAATCCTTGGAAAACAAATCAGGCCGAATTTTTTTGCGTTCGACAAGTTTGCTTTAAAAAATCCGGGGCTAACAAATCTGGGGGCGTGTAAACTAACCTATTATACTTTTTATACATCACATCTGAGGTGAAACAGTACTATGAGGCACTGTTTTTATCATACAGCCCTCGGACAGCACTATTTCACAATTTTGAAACACAAATTGCATTCATTCAATATTCAGGACGATCGAAGCACACGAGGGCTTTTAGCGAAACCTATACGGCCAGCCGGTTGCGAGCTGTGGAGTGTTTGAATGAACATTAATAGAGTTACCATTCAACATAATAAAGAATTTTTCATGTTTATTTTTTATTTAGTGGTTTTATAACGATGTACAATCTTCAAAAGCGTTTGATACGCGCGGCGTTTTGAGTACTCCTGCAAGCGATGTTCATGAACGACTGAAAACGAACGGCACAGCGATTAAGAATTGCAAGAGAGACTACTGAAAATCCATAAAAGAAATATAATTTGGTGAAACATGTACAGAGACAATAATTTTCATTCACGAAGACAATAGTATTAAAGTGTCTCTAAAAATCCTGAGTCTTCAAACTTAAAACTTAAAG